CTACTGGGGCTTTGGGGGAAAAAGGAGAAAAAAATAAAAAAGGAGGAGGATTGGCAAAAGGTGTTAGCTCAGGCCGGTCTTCCTCAGCAAAAAGAGGAGGGTTGGCATGGATGGTAGCTCAGGGCTGATCTTCCTTACAAAAAAAAAAAAAAGAGGAAGGAACAAATTACCCTTTTTTACTTTTATTTTTGCTGAGGAAGATTGGCTCTGAGCTAACATCTGTTGCCAATCTTCCTCTATTTTGTATGTGGGACGCCTGCCACAGCATGGCCACCAACAAGTGGTGTAGGTCTGCGCCCTGGAACCGAACTCAAGCCGCTGAAGCGGAGCCTGCTGAACGTAACCATGGGGCGGGCCCATTTTTATTAATATATTGTGTGTGCATATGTGTATGGCTATTAAAAATTAAATTAAATTAAAATCCAGTTCCTCAACCACACCAGCCACATTTCAAGTGCTCAGTAGCCACGTATGGCTAGTGGCTACCCCACTGGACAGCACAGATGTAGAACATTCCTGTCACACCAGAAAGTGCTAGGCGGAGCTTCTCTGCACTATTAAGTGGCCAGAGGGAGGCCTTCCATTCCCCATATTACAGATTTCTGTGACTGTTGACATTTTTTATGATAAATCGGCAGGTGTGCTATTATCGGAAGAACAGAAGCACATGGGATTTCCAAGGCAACAGTATTTCTTATGCAGGTGGTCGCTTATTATCATCATTTAAGATATATGTGTTTGTGTGAGTATAAACTTCTCAAGTATGTTTCAAAATGAAAATATTTAAAAATATATACAGAAAAGAAAAAAAGGAATGGCCTGGCGGGGCACACGTGGCTGGCTGGGCCTGGTTCCCTGGCCCCTAGCTTTCCAGCCTTGGCCAAGTCGCTCGGCCTGTCGGAGCCTCTGTTCCCGAATCTGACAGGATCCCTCTCCACCTGCCCTGTAGGGTCGGATTCCGAAGTGTGATGAGGTGTGGAGAAAGTCTTTGAAACCGAGGAACGTGCTCCATGGAGGTGAAGGGTCAGTAGGTAGTGAGTTGCCTGGGGCCTGAGGAGGCCAGGCCCCTAGTGACCACCCCTGGGGCCCAGAGGCCTTCCCTGCTCCCAAAGGGAGTGGTTTCCAGACATCGCTGAGGTCCCATAAGCAGGAGGAAGTGTTGCCATATTCCCACTGCTGTCATTGCTTGGAGATTTAGAAATAACAAGTTATTTTATTTATTTAACAAGCACTTATGTACTTTGCTATTTGCCATGCACTGTTCTAAGTGCTTTACAAATATGTACTCATTTTATTACTCATTTTATCGTCATACAACCCCGAGGGAGTCACTGTTAGCCTGCCCATTTCATGCAGGAGGAAATCGAGCCTCAGAGAGGTCAAGGGACTTGCCCAAGGTCACACAGCTAGTAAGGAGGGGGGCCTCTAAGGAAGGCAGTCGGTGCTTTCTCCTTTCCTCCTTCTCACTGCTCCTCTTGCCCCATTGAATGTGGTCACAGAGTTCCTTATGTCAGTTTATCCACCTCAGGGGTATGGATTTAAATTTTGATGGGAAATCTCGTGACTGGACGTTCCTGACTGACTTGGTAGCTTCGACTCTGATTTTCTGGCTGAGCTTGGTGGCATGGCAAAGTGGGAATGGGCTGTAGAATTAGGCCAATCTGGGCACCAGTCAGTGATTTGCCTTTTATTAGCTGTGTGACTTCTGGCAGGTTACTTAACTTCTCTGATCTTCACATGGGGTTTTGTGAGTGTCGAGTGCATTTACCTCCTGTAACAGTGCTTGTCATCATGTCACGCAGGCATTCGATGCCTTCTTAGGTGCCACCCTTTCCTTCGTCTTTATCTTAAGCAGTGAGCTTAGCTTGAAGACACAGAGATGAGTAAGTCCCAATGCCTGTCTTGAAAGAGTTTACAGAATGGCCTAGGTGGGGCCTAGGTGGGGGCCGGGGATCTTTCTATATCAGGAGTCAGGGACCTGAGTTCTAGCCAGTGCTGGCTCTCTCCTACCTCGGAGACGTGGGACAAGTTTCTCTGCTCCTCTGGGCTTCACTTTTGCCACCTGTAAACTGGGCCTGGCTTGGCATCTGTCCTGTCATTTTCCGATTTGTCATATTGAGGTCAGGACAAGTGTGTGCCTGGGGGGCCAGCGTGTCGCAGGGAGACAGGGATGCGCCAGCCTTTCCCTCCAGGCCCTCTGGTCAGCGCTCCCCGCAGCGTCCTCCCCACGTGCTCGGGGCCTCCTGGCTCTGTCCCGGAGCAGGGGCGGTAGGGACAGAGGTGGCTCCAGGTTCTCCTCAGCCTGTCAGGGTCTGCACGTGGCGGATGCTGCAGGTGAAGCATGAGTCAGAGGCAGCTAGTGTGCATGTTACTCCGCAGCCAACCCGAGGCTTCAGGATCCGTCGCCATGGTCCTTCTGGGTGAAAATTACCCTTATTTAAAAGAGGTCCTGTCTGTGGATGAGTCTGCCCGTGTGCCCTGCTGAACACACATACTTCCTGGAGTGGGAGGCCGGGGGGCGGTGCTGAGAAGCGGAGGGGGCAGGAGCCCGTCCGTGGTCCCCAGCGTGGCACAGCCTCCCAGAGGAGCGGGTGTCTCCTCAGGAAGCCGGCAGGTAAATGCCTGGAGTGGGCCACTCTGCTCGCCCTCCACTTCCCTGTACAAGAGCCACGGAGCGGGAGGCGGCTCCCTCACCTCAAGTTCAACCTGCTCGTAAAAGGAGTTAATATCCTGTAACTCACAGAATTGCACTCGGCAGGTCTGTTTAAAGAGGGGCAGCGAAATGGATTCTCTCTGAATTGTGTGACCTTTATCGGGCAAGTTAAATCCCAAAGCCAGACGGTTTAAGGATTCTGAAGGGGCTTCCGTGGTTTTATTTCTTCTTCGCCTCCTTCGTTGACTGGCATAGATCTTTCCAAATTCTGGTGGCACTTGTGGAGTTATTGGGACTCTGAAACCGGGCAGGCCTGTTATGTCCTCCGCAGCATCGACTGACAAATTTTTAGGCTCTGCCGGCCCATTCTGAGAACGGGGTGCAGGGGCAGGAGACTGTAAAAGAAAATGGCGCACAAGTCTGCTTTCCTTGAAAAAGAATTTAGGAGGTGGGACAAGCCATTCCGTTTTTGGCTCCTGGTCTACAAGTTCCTTGTCACTGTGCCCGTTGTCTACAGACAGCTGCTGGCACCTCCCTCGCCCTCCGATGGACGGCCTTGGTGACCGTCCCGTGGCCTCAATGCTCCTCTGACCAGAGCAGCGTGTTTAATTGGGAGGTGGCGCCTCGGTTCCTCGTTCTTCAAACCCTAGAGCTGGGCTGCAAAACCGTCTCCCCCTGCCAACCTTCAGGTTGGCATTTGCGGCTGGAATATCTCTTTTTCTTTCAGCATTGGTTTTGGGACATAGCAGAGTCAGCTGGTGAGAGAGGTGGCAGAGAAAATACTTCTGGGCTCAACCCTAAATCCTCAAGAAAACAGTGACTGTAACCTTGGTGGTGTTTCCTTGTGTCCTTCACTCTGACCAGCTCCGAAAGGCACTTGAAGTCATTGATGTAGCCTTGAGGATCACTAAAGAATAAGAGACTCAAATGACAGGTCCAAGGTGTCGAGGAAAGAAGGCGACCGGTCTAAATGGAAACAGCACTCGGGGGCCTTGGGTCGGCCGTTCCTGCTGGGCGTGTCACAGGATCTGATGTCACCTCTCAACAGTCCTGTGAAGGTGGCATGGTTGACAGCTGAAGGCTCAGACTCAGTGTGCCCAAAGTCACACAGTGCAGAGTGGCCTCATGAAGCCTCAAACCCAGGTTCCCCCCGAAGCCGCTTCCTTTAACCATGAAGCCATACAGTCTCCCAGGAACTGCCCAGGGACAGTGTCCTCGAACCCAAGCCTGCGGGGAAGTTAGATTTAGATAAGCAGAGAGGAAACGGAAGGGAATTCTGGGCAAGAGGAGCAGTCGATACAGTCAAAGCCTGGGAGAGGGAATAAGCAAGACATGGACCCGGGCCTGCTGGTTGTAAGCTCCACGGGGCAGGGACCACGTTCCCCAGGCCACCATCACATCCCCAGTGCCTGAGTGAGCGCCTGGTACACAATAGGTGCTCAATAAATATTTATTGTGAGTATGAACACATGAACAGACAGTTATCTTCTCCGTAGACCATGAGCCTCGTGAGGGCAAGGACTAGGCCTTAGACATGGACAGATGCTCCACAGCTCCCAGGGGTTAACAAATAGCTACCACTGAAGAGGCACGTCCTGGTGGAATGAATGTAGGAACGGCAGGTCGGGGATGGTGAGATGGCCTGGTGAAGAGGCGCTGGTGCTTTGGGGAACACCGAGCAGCACACATGGGCTGGGATGCTGAGTGCATATCCTGGAAGGTCTTCAGTGCCAGGACAAGGAGCTCTTGTGTTCTCCTTGGGGCGTTTTTTAAAAAGCCATTTCTTTTTTTTTTTATAATTTTTATTTATTTTTCCCCCAAAGCCCCAGGAGATAGTTGTACGTCATAGTTGCACATCCTTCTAGTTGCTGTATGTGGGACGCGGCCTCAGCATGGCCGGAGAAGCGGTGCGTCGGTGTGCAGCCGGGATCCGAACCCGGGCCGCCAGCAGCGGAGCGCGCGCACTTAACCGCTAAGCCACGGGGCCGGCCCAAAAAGCCATTTCTTAATGCACAGTATTGCAGGGTCTACGGAAACCCAGCTGGTGCCCAGACTTCGCTGGGCTTGCAGAGGAACCACAGTCAACACAGCTTAGAAATCACTTTTCTGTAGGACTGGCCTCAACCTGACCCCGTTGTCACTGCCTTCCACTTTGGGGTGACCACGCTGTTTAAACCAAAAGAGACCTGTGAAAGCTTGTGAATGGGAACCTGCAGGGTGTAGATGTGATTGCATGGCCCTGGAGTCGTTCTTAGGATAGGTTGGTTGGAAAGTCCCAGCCAAGTTCCTCCAAGAAGTGGTCTGCTCAGCCCAGGAATTTTCAATAAGAGCTACCCTCTCTTCTCAGGTGTTGGCCGAATTTGTGGTCTTAAGGAAGCCTGAGGGCCAGAAGGCAGCCTTGGGAGAAGCCCTTTCTGTGGCAGTCAGAACCTTCTGTCCAGAGGAGAAGCCGCCCCCTCACCTGGACTTATGACCCGCGGCTTCGCCCCCAGCCCGCCCGTCGAGTTCCACAGGATGGGCTCCTTCCGCAGGCCCAGACCGCGCTTCATGAGCTCCCCGGTGCTCAGCGACCTGCCCCGATTCCAGGCAGCCCGGCAGGCTCTGCAGCTGAGCTCCAACTCGGCCTGGAACAGGTGAGGAGGCAGCTGGGCGTGGAGTGGGGGGCTGCTGAGGGCAGGACAGGGCCGGGGGGCCGGCTTAGCTTCTGCTGCTTCTGAGATCTCTGCTTCAGAAGGTCGTGATGAAATGGGCAATTGGTGAAGAGAGCACATTTCCCTTCGAGAACGTGTCCGTTAGCTTTCCTTGTCGTAGTAGAGGGGCAGCGGACCACTGGGGGCCTCTGGGCTCTCAGGGTCAGTTAAGCAGCCTGGACAGTTGGACTGGCACTTACACTTGCGGTTCGTGCTCATTAGTCACACTCCAGACTCTCCGACTGCCTGAAGGTGGAGCTGTGTATGTGACCTCAAGTACCTGTGACCTATTTGGGAGGATCAGACACGTATCTGCAAAAATATACCACTCATTAGCGGTATAAACCTGGATTGTCAGGACCTGTGAGCCACAGGTGGTTGGGAGAGGAGACACTGAGCCTTGTGAGGTGTCAGGCCGATCTCTTGTACCCTGAGCACTGAGTAGAGACTGAATCAATACTGTGTCTTGCATTTGTGTGGCTCCTGTTTTTCAAATCTATGCAAGTTACTCTTTGAATAAATTAAGTCCATCATTATTTTAAAGCATTACTGAATTCTTTGTAGTTTGGATCATTAGGGATTTTCTCAGTGAATACACAACTCTTATGTTGGGGATAAAGGGGAGGTCTCTGAAATGTTTTGATGTTAAATGGATCCTTGTTCCTTAAAAAAAAAAGGCCTGGGACCCTTGGAAAAGACAAGGTTGTAATCAGCTTCTTGCTGAAATACTGGGCTGGCGTCCCGGAGGACGTGGAGTCGAGACTTACCTGTGGCTCCTCCGGGGACTAACTATCCTGCCTGACACTTCGCAGGGGCGGGAATGGAAGGGGCCAGGCCAGCCCCAGTGAAATTCTTCCAAGGAGAGTACTATTAAAAAGGCAAGGAATTATCATTTCGTTTTAGCCCCGGATGCCCTGTGAAGACAGGGCCCTCCTAGCTGAAGGAACCCCAGGCTAGGTCGGCTCCTGCTTGCAGTAAATGCCATCTTGGCTTCTTCCAGCCCCAGTGGTGCTGGCAACACAGTTTCCTGGGAGCGGATCCCTCTGCCTCCCCTTCATTACCGCTGCTCCCCAGCAGGGCTGCCAGCCAGGCGAGGGAGGGAGACTGCCGGCCTGCGAGAAGGTGGGGGAGAGGGGCTGCTCTGGCTCCTTTCGGCCTCAGTCTTCCTTCCCCTCCAAGGACCCTGGGAAGGAAATAGTGGATTCCGGGGATGGAAAATGTGGCTGCGTTTGTGCCATGGGCTTCCCTGCCCTTCCGCCCGCCTCCAGCCCTGAGCTGATTGTTGAGATGGCCCCGGGGTGCAGATCCTCTCACTGGGGGTCGTTTCCGTTTTCCTGCAGCGTCCAGACTGCCGTGATCAACGTCTTCAAAGGGGGTGGCCTGCAGAGCAACGAGCTGTATGTGCTGAATGAAAGCATCAGGTACGTGCAGGCCGGGCCGGGCGCTCCCCGTGGGCCTGGGCGGGGGTAGAGGGGCCACCCCACCGGGGACCTGACCTTAAGTCTTGTTTTCTGCTTGGTTCTTGTTGCTGCTTCTGCCGGCTTTTATGTGGCTCTTACGGCTGTTAAGTTCTGAGACCCTCATCTGTCTAGACTTCTGACCCAGGGAGATCCAGCCATTTGTTCACGTATGTAGTGGGGGGGTGGGGCGTAGGAGGCAGAACATTGAGAAATGTCACTGTCATTTATTCTGTAAAAGCTGATTGTGTCCTGCTGAACCATTAGCCCCCATATTAGGCAAGATGGTGGTTGGAACCAGCCTACTTGGGATTTTAAAGCTGAACTCCCTTTTCCTGACTGAGGGACTTAGCAATTTCTTTGTGCCTCGGTTTCCTCTGATGTGAAGCAGGGATAGGAAATGTGCCTACTTCCATAGGATTCTTGTGAAGATTAAATTGAGTTATTATATAAATAATCTGTTAGAACACAGTTGGAGCCCACTAAGTACTTGGTACTCGTAGCTCTTAGCATCATTGTCAGTAAGTTTTGGTGATACAACCCTTTATAAGACATTGTCTTTGAGGAGTTTATTGTCTTCCAGAATCTTCCCAGTAGAGCAATGTCTGCTTTTCATTCATTCATTCATTCATCAAATATTTGAGTGCCTCCCTATTGGCCAGGCACTGGAGAGGCAACAATGAACAAAGACAGACATGGACCCTGTCCTCCTGGAATTTATGTTCAGTTGGGGAGATCATCATAAGTCAACTAATCACACATGTGAAATGTCAAAGTGCTCCTGTGACAGCTGCTGTACCACAGCTGATCTGATGACAGCAGATGGGAGTATGACTTGACCTTGCCAAGGACAGGAATGGTGGATGTGGTGCTTGTGCTGTGATCTGAAGCATCAGTGGAAATTAACCAGGTGAAGAGGGCTCAGGTGGTGGAAACTGCAGGTGCAAAGGTCCTGTGGTGGCAATGAGCAAGGAACTGAAAGAAGGCCCCTGTACCTACAGCAGCGGAGGTCGGGTGGTGGTGTGGCTGGGTATGTTTTGGTGGAATGAGGGCAGAAGGGCAGGCGGGGCCCCGAGCACCAGGGTCTCCTGGGGACAGGAGGTTGAACGTCTGGTCTTTTAATGCCCCAGTATTCATTCCTCTCTGGTGTGTTAAGTGCAGAACATCAAGGCTGACCTGGAGTGAGCAGAACAATAAACAAGGCCATTATTCGGGTCCTGTTGACACTGAGTTACCACCTGTGTTAAGGGTCAGTGAGGTGTTTTAAGAGCTCTGCTTTCATTAAAACCTTTTGAGCTCAGAAGTAAACAGAGTTGTGTTAAATTTCTACCCATGCACTTGAATTTCACATAATAATTACACAAACATGGAAAGAGACATTACGGATCATTTATCCCAAGGCCTCCTCCTTTTGCAGAGGAGGAAACTGAGGCCCCAAAAAGTGGGGTGTCAGGGGCAAAGCTGGGTCAGCCAACCCCCGAGTTGCAAGAGCTCAATTTTAATGTAAGAACTAAGATCCTGGCTACTCCGTGAGGGTTCTTTAGCTCACAATAGCAGTATAAATAAATAAAACAGTGACTCAGGAGCATGCTAATTGTTCCTCACATCGGGACACTGATCCTGAAATTGTACTTAAAATCTTTGTTTGTGGGCAGCTGGGGAGAGTGAGGGCCATGCCCGATTTCACCAGCCCTGTTAGCCCCGGGGCTGCGAACTCGGGTCTTCTAGATGGGTGAGGTTGGCCTGGGTGCATGGAGGTGAGAGCTCACCCTCTGTGGAAAGGGGGTCACCCTGGGGGAACACAGGTCCAGTGACATATCATCTTATTTCTCAAGAAGAACTGGAAATTGAGATTTTTATGTGAAATTTCCTGGCTTTCAGATGTTGATAAATAATCCAAATTTCCCCAAACATTGGTACAGGCCAAAGAAAACACATTAGTGGGCTGAAAGTGGTCAACAGGCTATCCGTTTACAAGATTGGCCATGGCACACACAGGGTGGCATCCGAGATTCTCACACTCGGGCCACACGAGTGGGGAGAAGGGAGCTGTGTGGATGGAGGTGCCGGGAGCGCCAGGCAGCTTTCACATCTGTCAACACATTCAGCCCTCCTCACAGCTCTGTGAGGCAGCCATTGTTATGGGTAGTTTATCCACAAAATTGTGGATGAGAGAAACCAAATAACTCGTCCAGGGTGACAAGTGATGGACGGTGGAGTCAGGGTTTTAACTCCTGCCTCCCTTAGACGCCTGTGCTAGTCAGCTCAGCTGCCCTAATAAATACCGTAGCCTGGGTGGCTTAAACAGTTGACAGTCATTTCTTATTGTTCTGGAAGCTGGGAAGCCCAGGATCAAGGTGCTCGTGGATTCGGTTCCTGGTGAGACCCCTCTTCCTGGCCGCCATCTGCTGAGTCCTTGAGTGGCCTCTTTGTGTACGTGAGGTGGGGAGAGCAACCTTTCTGGTGTTCCTCAGTATAAGGACACTAATCCCATCATGAGGGTCCCGCCTTTGTGACCTCATGGAAACCTAATTACCTCCCAAAGGCCCATCTCCAAACACCACCATGTTGGAGGGTATGGCATCAACATATGAATGGGGGGGCACGGTTCAGTCCACAGAAACACCTTTGCACCATATTGTAGTGTCAGTGGGAGGTTTTAGGTTGGAAACAAGGTTAAGCCGATGGTCTTGATCTTTCTGCTGTCATTCCTTTCACGAGGCCTCTGGGACCTCATCTCTCATCATGTGCTGTGATTCTTAACTCCCCTCTGAGGAGCATGACACTCCCCCAAACCCCCTTTCCAGTGTTGGGTTTAGGGGAGGCTGCTGGCTGTTCCTCTCTCTGTTTTGAGCAATTTTCAGGCTGGTGAGAAATACATAGGGTTGGGGTTTGAAACTGATTGCACAGATGTGAATTGAGCCCAGACCAAGTCAAAGCTTATTGAAAAACCAAAAACCAGAGTTTCGATTACCCATGTTCTGTACCTTCCATCTTCTGGCCTTCTCTAGGGTGGTGGTTAGAGTGGAGATGGGCTTTCCCGTCACAGACACTCAGGGCGTAACTGAGCACGTGAACCGCATCCCAGGCACCTACTTGACCTGGTCCCAAGTTGAATGAAGTGAGCTGACCTGCACGTGTGCCCACATCTGTGTGTGCCTGTGTGGAAATAACACAGCTGCCCTTACTTCAGTCATTAAGATGCCCAAACGGACCTGCCACTCTGGTTGCATTCGAACAGACAATTGGGTTTCCCTTTTCCCTTTCTCTTCTGTTTTCTTTTGGAAGACTTGTTCTCAGAATAGATCCATAAACTCAGCAAGGTTGAGGCATGACCAGTGGGGAGGGCGTGTGTGTGAGGACGGGGACACAGGATGTAGGCGTGTAGGGAAGACGATGGAAGGAGAGAAAGCTAAGTTACTCTCAAGCCCATTTTTCCGTCAATTGTGACAGTCCTACTATGTGCACAAAGGTCTGTGCCAGGTTCACTAGAATTTTTTAACTTGTTAAGACAGTTGCTTCTGGGCTCAGAGAGGCTGGGGATCAAGATTAGACTAGCTGTGTGACCTTGGGCAAGTTGCTTTCTTTTTCTAAGTCTTTTTTTCTTGTATAAAGTGGAGATGATAATCGCATCAACCTCACGGTGGTTGGGAGGAGGGAGATAATGCTAACAACGTCATTAGTACAGGATCCGGTGCATAATAAATGTTAGCCATTATTCTTCCTATTATTGTGAAAATTTAGCAATAATAAAGTGATAAGTGATGGGCGAGTGCCAGGTGTGAGAGCACAGGGCGCTGTCATGAAGGGCCGTGAACAGTCCTGTATCAGGATTTCTTTAGCGTTCAGATGGGGTGAGCTCACTCTCACTTTGAACTAGAGAGGTCCAGGACAGGCCTCTCCAAGAATGTGCTGGACTTGAAGTTGGGGTGAGGCTAAGTTCTTACAAGGAGAGCCAGCTGTTTCTCCTATCTGCAGAGACGAGAACAAGAGGAAATGACTCTCTCAGTTCTCCATTCTCCTCAAGCCAAACATGAATAAACTTTGATGGATTGTCCAAGTCCAGTTGCAAAGCCTAAATCTGCTTCCCTGGGTCACCCCAGCCAGCCCTGGCCATCTTCATAACTGTGGAGTTAGGACGTTTCTGGGAAATGTGAATTCACTGAACTGTTAGCCAATGCAGAGAATGACCAGGAAGGGACAAGTTTTATGTAAGTGGGTCCTGAAAGGCAGTCATTACAAACAATTGGTTCTTTCTTTTAAGACATGTCATCAAAACTTAACTCCAGTTTAAATTGTAGCCAGTAGACTTTGGGATAGCTATGAGGAAGAACTTTGGACTAAGAATCGTCAAGTTCTAAAACACATTATTTGATCAAGAGAAGGGTGTGGAGATCTTTAAAAAACAAATTCATCAGGAATGTCACACCTCAATAAAGTAACAAGTTTTCCCCAAAGAAAAGTTAGGGCACAGAGTCTGTCAACATGAAGACAAAAATCAGAATATTTTCTATTGAAACTGCCTCAGAAAGCAGCACTTGCACATTGTTATATCCCTAAAGGCAAGAAGAGGACTCTTCAGAAGAGACATATTCCAGTGAAATCCCTAGCTGTCACCATCTCCAGTTCTGCCTGCCCTGAATTTCCATCCGCCCTGGCTTGGGCTGTCCCGGGTGTCTTCTTGGTTTAAACTCTCTGTGGGGCATTGATGTGGTTTTCCACACTGCTCTCCAGCCTCAGTCCTGATGTGGCTGCATTTTGGCAGTGGGAACAAGTCTGGGTTAGAGGTTTGGGTTTCATGAACTCTTCCAGGAACAAGAGTGGCCAAACTCTCTGACGCAGGAGCATGCTCTTCCTAAACATTCGTTTGAGCCAACTATTCTACTGATTGTGTGTGACCAAGAAGAATAGAAAAGGGAGAAACCTATAATTGATGTGTACTGGTTCTTATAAGCGCTTTCACT